CCCCACCTCAGCCCCTCGGCGCCGCCATGTCGGGGGGCGGCGGCGGCGGCAGCGGGTCGCGCTACGCGGCGGAGTTCGTGCCGCCGCCCGAGTGTCCCGTCTTCGAGCCCAGCTGGGAGGAGTTCGGCGACCCCCTCGGCTTCATCGGCCGCATCCGCGGCCTGGCGGAGAAGACCGGCATCTGCAAGATCCGGCCCCCCAAGGTACCGCCGGGGCCGGTTGCTCGCTCTCCCCTCGGGACAGCGCTTGGGGCGTGCGCCCCTCCCCCGTTCTCCAACCGCTGCCGGGGGCCGTTGGGCGATCCGTTGGCCGGTGCCCGCGCCCCTCCCAACGGCCGCTGTGGGGGGGGGGCGTTGGGCGGTCGGTTGGCCGGGGCCCTTGGTGCTGTGTGAGGGGTGGGGGGGAGATGTTTCCCCCTCCCCGTGCTGCTTTGGCTCAATGCACTTCTTTTAAAAAGCAAACATTTAAATGGGGCCAATGGATGGGCTGAAGATTGGAGCCACCTGCTCCCACAGGAGGACTGGGGCGGAGGTGGGTGGAAGGCCCTTGGGACCCTTCCCCAGACACCCCCAGGTCTTCAGCCCAGGGTGGAAAATAAGAGTAAATCCGAGGTTTAGGTGGCGGAGGGGAGGGAGGAGCAGCAAGGAGGGGGCATGAAGGCAACCAAGACCCAGCGGCCGAGGAGCCATTTTCGCTTCTGCGCTGTGAGTGGCTGCTATCTGCAGAATGGGTTGTGGGGTGGGGGGGCAAACCTGACTTCACCTCCACGGAGCTGCACTTCCCAAGTGAAGCAGAAACTCACTTATCTGGTGCTCTGAATTCCAGTAAAAGCAGCTTGTGATCTCCAAGCAGCTGGATGTATAGCTTGGCCCCTGCATGTTTACTCATGAGTTGCCTTGCAGGGGTGGACAGCCAGGCTCATTTTAAGATTTACTATTAGGACTGAATTAGGTGCCCAACACTAGTCTTACCAATCCCTTATTTTTCTTTTGGCAGTTAGAAAGTAAATATTATACAGTCCTGGTTGGGGCCTTTAAGTACTGCTGCAGTTCAGATAACTTTTATTTTTCCTTCTCTGCCTGAAATATTTGTGCTTGTTTAATTGTAGGGACTGGCAGGTATGCTGTGTATTGTCCTCAGCTATTGCTTAGAAGTATTCAAACTAAATTAGACTTGCTTGGAAGTTAACACCAAGATTGAGGGGCAGAGCTGACCCTATCCTTATCCCTGTTACAGTGTATTCCTTATTATGTGCCCAGCGTAGCTCGCATCTGTACACATGTCTCATCTCAAATGCTGCAATTTATTTGAAGTTAGCTATTGGCAAGATTTTTTTTTTTTGGAATATCTGTATCTGGAAAATATGGACCTTTTCTAAAAATCCTACAAGGTGGTAGCCCCAGCCTATGTCTGCCTTTGACAATGTGCTCTACATTGTAATACAGTCAAGGTGGTATAAATCTGAATGTTCACCCTTTATTCAGCATCTCCATTTTCATAGGCTGTATGGTCAGGTCAGTTGACAAGCTTTTATTCAAGTAAGTATGGGAGGAAGCTTACTTATGAAGTTGTTCTGGTTTTAAAAAACAGAAACTTCTGTTGCTGGTCAAAGTGTTCAAAACCCTCAACTTGCTATTTCTGTGATTCACTCTTTGGCAGTTCTCAAATTTTGGGGAGTTTTTTTGCATTTGTGGAAGAAGTCAAGATTTCTTTTAAGGTGTCAATAACATGTCGGTCTCTCTCTCTTTAGGACTGGCAGCCTCCATTTGCATGTGAAGTACAGAGTTTTCGTTTCACCCCACGAATCCAGCGCTTGAATGAACTGGAGGTGAGCTTTTTCCACTGTTGACACATGTCTGTATTCGTCCACAAAGCAATAGGTTTCTTTGCTTAGGATTTGCATTTTGGCAGATTTCTGGATGGGAGGCATTCAAAACCCACTGACCACATCAGTGTTTATAATTGGCACTGGCAGTGTTTGGATAAAATAACTCTCCAAGGCTTTGAGAAAAATCTGGTTTTTATTTTAGTACCCAGAATAACCACACAAGTTTTTTGCACTCAACTGGAAATATGGAAAATGAATGCCAAGTACCATGTTGTGTAGTAAGAGCAGTCAGTGTCTAGCTCTCAGAACTCCACAGGCACTGAATAAATTTATTTTTCTTAAGGTACTGAAGATCTTGCCCCAAATTACCTAATACTTAACTGCCATTATAATGTCCTGTAAAACCTGAAATGAGCTAGTGTTGTTTTTTTATGGCTGTAGTCACAATAGGTTAATTTGAGTTTAAAAATAAATCACAAGAGCCTTTTTTAAATTAGTGGAAGTCCTGTGATGTCCATGTTTTTCCAAAGAGCTCGCTTTTTTTTCTTCACAGTGGCTCATAGAACCTTGCTCTTCCAATATCAAAGCAGCATATGAATTTTGGCTTGTAGATGTGCATTTTTTGTGCAAGAAAGACTGCTGTTGGCTTCAGAGATGCTTAAGGAGACCTTCTTATTTACAATAGCTTATATTGCAATTTATCTCCTAATTAAAAATATTCTTCACTTCTTGTCCAAAATGCTTATTTTTAGGAGTTTGCATTTTGCATCTTTAGGATTTAAAAAAAGAGAGATTGTTTTGGGTAGGAACTTGTCTTTTTAAGATCTCAACTATAGAAAGCAAAGAACTTTCTTTTTTTCCCCCCAAATTTATGGCAAATTGATCCTGTTTACATTTCTGCTTCTTGCTCTCTTACACAGCTGAGGAACAGTAAATTATCATATTATGAATTATGTTATAAGATCCTAAATTGTGTAAAGTTTTGTCTCACTTCTGTCTAGGTTTCTTTTATGTTTTACATGCTGCTTTGCTATTTTTTCCCTATTATAGGCAATGACCAGAGTGAAGCTGGACTTCTTGGATCAATTAGCAAAATTTTGGGAACTTCAAGGATCCAATTTAAAAATACCTGTGGTGGAGAGAAAAATCTTGGATCTGTATGGTTTGAGCAAAGTGAGTAACGGGGCTGCAGGTTTTGATGAGGCAGGGGTTTACCTGTTTTATAAGAGGGTGCTTTCTTACTAGAAAGGCAGTAAGCAGTATGTTCATGAAAAACAAGGAGGCAAGACACAATATTTTCAGTCAGTGACTGTCAAGAGAGCAGAAAATTTACAAGTATGGTTAGTTATGATTGATTTAATTGCCCATCATACATCAGGAAAGTTCTGCAAAATAGATGTTATCTGCCAACTTATTTCTCTATGACCCCTAACCTTGTAAGGCAGAGCTGCAGGACATAGTGCTTTGCTTGGCTAAGAGCTTATTTGCAGTTGATATTTTCTGAATTGACAATTCCTGAACACCTTATTTGGTATAAGGTTCTATGTGGACAATCTTAGTCTGGGCCTTATACCACGGATGATTTACCTGTTCTAGAATGGCATTTTTGGTAAATTTCCAAGTTTATACAAGTTCTAAGGCCAGATTTGTGCTAGAGACTTGCACGGATTTATTTATTTATTTTTTATTTTAAACCTTACTGTGGGTGCAGTGTTTTGGCAAAAAAGAATGCTTTCACTGGTATTGAGTATCTACACAAGGAAGGTTTACAAGTAGGCTTAGAGGCAAACAATTTTCTGGTATATGCAAGGGATAGAGAAGTGTGCTGCTGACACTGTTAGAACAAAGGACCAGTTTCCAGTTGTTTACCAACATTTACTTATTTCAGATATGATGAAGGTTTAAGAATGCATTGGCAGTCACAGGTGTTAAAGGTTATGCTCTGAAAGACTTTTTCCTGACCGGCCTTATGGGCACTTTGTAGCATATATTGTTGTTGCTGGCTTAGCTTAGTTGACTTTGAAAAACTTTTCAGAGTTATTTTCTAGTCAGCCGTAGTTTGTTATGGACTGATGTAGTATTTTCTGTTTACTGCTACTAGAAATGTTTTAGCCATGAGCATGAAATTGGAGGGGGACCTTAGTTCTGCATGAGGTAATATTTAAGATGTTTGACTACTTAAAAACATGACTAATATGCTTTTAGATTGCTAAGGTTTTTTAAGTTTAATCATGCAGTTATGTGTTAGGTGTTCTCTTCTCATGGGTATGCTGTGAACTTAAGCAAAGATGTAACTTTTGCTATATATTGATTTCTGTAACTAAGTTGGAAAATAGCTTGTTGTAGTCATGTTAAAAACAATAAGCGAGCAAATAAGAGGAAAATGCAGTGTAATTAAAATGTAATTTAACTTTTGTTAACATCTTGGCAGTACAAAGCCATGAACTTGAACTTTTTTTGCTTAAGCAATTACTATATTTTATTGCATATCTTATGCTCCAGAATATAAAAAAGTTGAAAGAAATTAAAAAAAAAATCTTTCTGTGTAGTAAGTAACTAAGTAGCAGTAGATTGGGAAATGAGCCTGCTCATTGTTTTGTTCCCTGTAGACTGCTGTAGGTTTTCGTTTTGTTTTTACCTGTAAGTGGCAGATTCTGCTCTTATTTTTGTTCTTTTTCCTTTGCATATTATGTGTGTTCCAGTTTTCAGCATCTGTTTTTTGGAGAAAGTGTATGTGCCACTGCACTTAAACTAGTCTGTTATGCTTCTGGTTCCATTGCAGTGACATGCTACTTCTTGTGTTTGTGTTTTTTGGTAGTCCTTGGAATGTTAGGTGTACAATTCTTGGCTTTTGTGAGGAGGAAAAAGGAACTATCGTGCAGCCAGTTGTGTAAAAGTACTTTGAATTTTTCAGAACAAATTAAACAAAACCACGGATGAACCTGTATGGAGTTTTAAGCTTTTTGGCAATGATTTTTTTTTTTTTTTAAAGGAGAGTAGGAGAAGAAATTTGGTCAGTGTTTCTGAGGAAGCATCTCCAGTGCCACTTTGACTTTCACTTGGTGACAAATGGTCTGTTATTTTTCAAGTTAAATAAAAACTAATTGTTTGTAGTCAATGACAGTTTACAGTGTAAACTGAAAGACTAAAACCAAAATGCAGTAGTTTCTTTTCTTGTTATATCAGTTGTGCTGCAGTAACAGTCAGTATTTCCTTTCAACTTCCTTTCTTTTTTTTTCCATTTTTGGCTTCTCGCAGAATTTCTGTGCTCTGTGGAGTCCAGAACTTCCAAGACTTCAGTCTACCTGGGCTCGGTTAGAATTGGCTCTGCTCCTGACCAGACTTGTGTTTTTTTTTTTCATCATGCTACAGGTTTGGGGAGAGCTGACTCTTAGTTTATTCTGTTAGTGGGTTTGTACAGTTTCCAGCACATCAGAGGTAGTGTTTGTTGAACTCTTCCTGCCTGGGACAATATATACCTTATATTCATGTCTCAGCACTGGGGTTCTAATAAATGTATTAAGTGACTGAAACAGATGAAAGCTTATTTGTTGAAGTTCTGGCTCTGCAAGAAGAAAAATGCCATAATGACAGGACTCTGAGGTACAGAGAACTGTCAAATGTTTCATCTGTTGACTCAGCTCCTGGTTCATATGCAGTGGCAAGAGAACATTAAAAGTCTTAAATAACTTTCTTTTTTTTTTTAATTAACTTTGTTTCAGATTGTTGCCAGCAAAGGAGGCTTTGATGTGGTCACTAAAGAAAAGAAGTGGTCCAAAGTGGCTAGTCGGCTGGGATACCTGCCAGGAAAAGGCACTGGATCACTACTAAAGTCTCACTATGAACGGATCTTGTACCCTTATGAGCTCTTCCAGTCTGGGGTCAGCCTTATGGTGAGATGCTTCCCTTTCAGAATAGAAAGATGGTACCCAGGCTGCACAGGGAATGTTGTCATTATTGTATTGTAACAGTTTAAGGTTCTGAAAACAGCAGTTTCTTTAAGAAAAACAGCACTTATTCGTGTGTGGCATAATGGAATTAGAAGATGTATTGTGACTGAGTGTACCTACTATTTATAGCTATCACTTTATAGGTGTGAGATCAGTCCTACTGGGAGGGGAAAAAAGGGAAAGAATGATGCACTTGTTTAGAAGGATGTCTTTATTTCTCTTGGCTAGGCGGCTGTGGAGATTTGTTTCCTTTATTTCTCACTGCATGGATTAATTTGCACAAATAGCATGTGCAGTACACTATGACTTCGCTGATAGTCCCATTCCTCAGCAAACAGGATGATTAGCCGATCAGAGAGTTTGATTCCCTGATCAACTAGCCTGGTATCCTTCTGTGCTCTGATCCCTTAGGGTATCCAAAAGCCAAACTTGGACCTTAAGGAAAAAGTGGAAGCTGAGGACCTCAGCTCTGATGCCCAGGCTTCCCCAAAGCAGGGTACAAGAATGAATGTTGCGCTGAAGAGAACCAGACGCGTCAAGTCCCAGGTACCCATGTTGCTTGGCTGCTATAGACAGAGTGCATTTATTCCTTGCACCAGTGCAGTAGCATTGAAAGTGCAACAGCCTTTGTCTGGCTGTGGGAGCCCACTCAAATGCACCACAAGAAAGTAGTCCTTCCACCTCCTCCCTCAGTTTTTTCTTCTAAAATTCAGAGGTGTGCGTCTCATCAGCCTGGTCCACATACAGAAGTTCCCCTGGCTGAAATGAAAATTCTTTTAAAACTGATTTTAAACTCTTTGAACTTTCACCAGCCTCATGTTGTCTTGTATCCATGAAGGTACCAATGAAAGCTAAGCAATTTAAAGGCCTTTGTATATTCATATATCAGTCCACATGAAGCTTGAAATTGGGATTTTTAAGCATACGTTTAGTCAAGAAATGCAAGCTTTTGTGTAGACAAGGTTTTACTTGGTGGGGAAAGTGGGGAATTAGACCTAGTAATCCCAACATTGAGAATTTTTTTCTGAAAAATTCTCAGGTCGAAAGGCTAATGCTGAGTAATTGCTGGCAGCTTCTTTGCAATTCCCCAGCCCTTTACCTGAGAATTATTTTATGTGTGTTAAATGTGTTGTTACCTCTAGGAACGTTTAGGTTTCTAATAGGCCGTTTCAAAATTCTGTAAAAGATGCCTAATAACTTTCCCCTCAAGGAAAACATAACCATGTCAAATGCCAGCGTATCAGAAAATGAACTTGCAGTCTTGGCTTGACTTCTGCTCTTTTTCTTTCACTGCACTCCTGTAAAGCAAGTTTTTTCTCTTTCTGATAAGTGAGATGCTCACTGCAAAGAGAGAATTTCCTAGGGTTTTTAGCCCCGGTCCATGTGGCATATTCCAGTGGCTCCTTGCTGGTCAGTCTGTGGGGCATGAGTGAAAGCTGGGTATTTTAGTTAATTAAAAAAGGCATGAAGAAAATAGTAAAAGTTAACTTAACATTCTGCAGTTCTTTTCCTTCCTAATGCTGTTAAAACTTTTCTGTCTTTCAAAGTCCACATCTCAGGTAATTTCGTTTTCTCCCCTTTTTGCTGCTTATAAAGGCTAAGAGCACCTTGGTTCATGCAGTCAGAATTGTCTTCATCATATCACTTCCTGAGGCAGACTTGCTAATTTTGCATTATGTAAATATACGTGAGCATATCCACCGATGGTCCTAGGCTGTGAAAATAGAAATTCATTTAATAGGGGTGCACCAATAGGAATTTTTGGGGGGCTGATATGGACAGCTAATTTTTAACAAGGCATATTGGCCAATACTGATCTGATTGCCAATATGCAGCTTGGAGAGCAGTGTCCGGCTGGTAAGTCTGTTGTAGTGGAAGAGGGGGTGAGGGAAGGGGCTTGTGGAGGTTAGATCTAGGCCCCTGCAGTGAGGGAGGGAGTGGGGCTAGGGCAGGAGTGGATGCTGCCCAGCTGGGCCAGGGCATGGGAAAGAACCATGAGCGGCTGTTCCAGAGCATGTCCCTGCATCTGTGAATGGGGTGAAGGTGGGGTGCCGCTGTGGGCTGAGCGGGGGCCCCACTCGGGGTGGGCAGCAGCAGCACTGGGAGTAGGGCTACGGGGTGGGAGGGGGGCTGCAGCCTACAATTCACCATAGCATCCCCCTTCTGAGTGCTGCCACTGCCTACCCCAAGTGCAGTCTGGCCCAGCCGCAAGCTGAGGAATTCAGCACAGCCCCAGCCCGCAGCAGCAGCTTGCCCTCCCCCTGTGCACAGTTCTAGGGGTGCATGTAGTGGCGGGAGCCACCCCTGTCCTCGCACCCCCCGAATGAGCTGCTTGTGTCTCTGTCCTGTGCCCTGCCATGCCCTGGCTGGGCAGTGCCTGCCCCAGCCCCACTCCCACTCCCAGTCTCTCCTTCACTGCAGGGGCCTCAGTCTGTCCCCTCTCCCCCTCCCTCTTCCACCACAACAGGCTTACCAGCTGGACCTGGCTGCTCTCTATGCTGCCGGACTGTGCTCCTAGCCACATGTGTGCTATGTTGTGGCTGCGCGTGTGCATGGGGCAGTTATTGGCCACATCAGCCAAAACGAGCTGATTGCCAGTGCTATCAATTTTCCTTATATAGGTTCCAATCTGATGTGGGACCGATGTATCGGTGCACCTCTGCTCTTTTAGTGATGTTGTTTCGGGTTTGATCAGTGTTTGTACTGAAGTTCTTGATCTACTGTAGTGGGTGTTAAGTTATTGTGCCACTTCACTACATTATTAAGATCTTGTCATTCTGCACAAGAGTTCCCAGTTGTTTCTGTGACAGAGTAAGTCTGTCTGGACATGTGTGGCGTTACAGGAAGTAGTCTCAGTGAAGCCAGCAAGAACTTGTGGGTGGCAGAACAGAAACAGGTCAGATGCAAAATGCTTGCAAGGGCAGCAGTAAAAGCAGTTAGCTCTTTACTGTAAATAATTATATATACATAATAATGAGTTGTTTGCGCACCATGAACCTCCTCAAAATACCACATGGTACCAGAAGTGGGATGTACACCATGCTGGAGGACCCAGTGAAAGAGGTAACAGAAATGGCTGCTACAGATCTTTTGAGACTGCAAGTAACCCCACCACAGCCCTTGAGACTCCAGGGGAATGCTAAAAATGCCTGGAAAAGGTTCAAACAGCTATTTGAGGTATATATGAAAGCCATGGGGAACAGATAATTGGAAGAAGAGCAAAATATTGCTCTGCTCTTAAGTTGCAGGCAATGAAGTGCTGGATGTGTATAATGTCAACCGTACAGAAGGGGAAGAGGGGAAATAAGAAAGGCTTGAAGAAATAATGAAAATGTTTTGAAAGTCATTGTGTTCCTAGAAAAAATATTACTTGTAAGAGAGAATTTTCAGATAAGGGCAGAAAAGGAAAGGAAAACAATGGAAGAGTTTGTCACAGCTGGATGAGTCGCTGGGTGGTCTGTACATTAGACTGACACCCCCTAGTGCAGCTTGGACCCTGTGTAACTCATAAATTCCTGGGTCCAGCCCATGTACCTCATGCCAGCCTGGCATGCTGTGTTGAATCTGGCCCATGTGCTGTATGTTTAACACCCCTGGTTTAAGGTATCTGTGAAAGATTGTAATGGAGGGACCATTCCAGTGCTAAGAGAATGCACCTTGACTCTTAGATACAAAGGTAAAACAACAGAACAGGACTTCATGGTGGCACACGGAGGAAAGCAACTAGTTTTGAGCTTGTACACATGTGAAATACTTGGTCTTATTAAGAGAAGAGGATGCATGTATACCACAGAGAGGCTGAAAGGTGCCACTGAACCAAACTTCAAGGCACTAATTGCATCATAAGATGGTGTATTCACAGGGAATGTGTGCATCCCAGTGACATACAAAATGTGGTTAAGAGAAGATGCAGAACCAGTGATACATGCCACAAGAGAAGTCCCATGTGGCTTAAGAAAAAGACTAAAAGAGCTACACAAAATATGGCAGCAAATGGTACCATTAGGAGAACAGAAGAAACAATGGACATAGTCAATTCCCTAGTAACTATAGAAAAGAAAGTAGGGGGACTATGGCTATGTTTTAAACCCAAAGAATTTGAGAAAAAGTAAAAAGAGAATGCTTTGACTTACCCAGAAGAAGTAAGCTATTGTTAGAGGTGACAAGAAACAAGTTCTTCTGTAAACTGGATGTGTTGGTAGGATTTTGGCAGATTCCTTTGATCCTCAGTAGTTCCAAGAGCTGCAGCTCTCAGCAGTCCACTTAGAAGGTACTGCTTCCTACTCTTCATAGCCCTTTTGAAGTATGCTGAGCTCCAGAAGTATTTCATTGCAAAAATGAGTCATGCTAGAAGATCTAGTAGGTGTAAAGGTCTAGGTTGGTCACATAATAATCTGGGACAGCAGTGCCACTGAACATAAAGGGGGACAGAGAAAAGTATTAGATATTGCAAGAACTACCAACCTTAATTTGAGTAAAAATAGATGTCAGTTTCAGATAACAAAAATACTGCATTTGGGTGACCACTGGCCTCGAGAGGAATCTTACCTGATGACTCAAAGGTTCTGGTGATACCGAACATGCCAAAACCTGAAGATAGAAAAGGAAGTCAAAGATTGCCAAGACTATTGCATTATGTCAGCAACTTTATCCCTAACTGTGTAACTCGCACAACTTGCTTAAAGCAACTTTTCCATAAAGGCATTTAATGTGTCTGGATTCTAGAGCATGAAAGTGAATTTAATGAACTAAAATGCATATTGACATTAGCCCCACTGCTACAATTTTTTGACCCATTAAAAGACATCAGACACAGAAGCTTCATAAGATGTGTTGGAAGCGGTAATATTATAGCATCGTGAAACTGTTTCCCAGTCTCATGTGCATCTGGGGCTATGACAGCTGCAGAAAAAAATATATGCACAGATTGAAAAGGAGACCCTTGGCTTAGTTTATGGATGTGCAAGACTCTATAACTTACTGTGTGGTTGGAGATTCACTGCAGAAACAGGTCATGAAACACTGATTGAAATATTCAGAGAAGCACTTCGAGATGTGCCCCCAAGGATTCAGTGATTGCATCTTAAATTACAAAAGCATGATGTGACCCTGGAGTTCCAACCTTGATGCCCCTTAGTGATAGCAGACACTTTAAAAAAAAAAAAAATATTACCCCCTATCAAACAATCCACAATCTGATCATCTGGAGCAAATTATAACCATATGTATGAACATGATTTAAAGCATCATTCAGTATATAGAATCATAGAAAGATAGAGTTGGAAGGGACCTCAGGAAGTCATGTAGTCCAACCCCCTGCTCAAAGCAGGATCATCCCCAACTAAGTCATCTGAGCCAAAGCTTTGTCTAGCCAGGTTTTGAAAAACCTTCAAGGATGGAGCTTCTACAACCTTTCTGGGTAACTTGTTCCAGTGTTTTACTACCTTCCTAGTGAGAAAATTCTTCCTCATATCCAACCTAAACTTCCCTTGCATTGCAACTTGAGCCTGTTGCTCCTTGTTCTGTCATCTGCAACTACTGCAAAC